GCGCATTGCGAAGAAGAAACGTTGGAATAACATCGAGGAGAAGCGCATCAACCAGGAGAACGAGCTACATGCCTATCTGACCAAACTCATAATCGCTGATAAAGAAAGGTGAGACAATTATCCAGCGTGCCGTGCGTCATAGTAATCTTTTGATGAAGATAATGATATCGAATAAACTTTTTTCTTCTTCAGAGAACTTGAAGAATACAAAGAGAAACAGGACGACAATCAAAATGGAGGCGATATTGCCAAGATTTCAACAAAAAATGTACGTTCTATGTCTTAGACTTTATCAGTTTTCATGCTTTTAAATGAACATATAAACAATCCCAATTGAATATTCATGAATATATTTGCTGTGGCCTACTTAGGACAAGTATCTAATGGACATGGAGGAGCTCTTCTCTCAAGTGGACGAGAAAAGAAAAGTGAGTATGGAAATAAATGAATCATTACAACTATGAGCATGTAATAATGGTGTTCATTCATTCGGTCGCTTACCATGTCCACAGCATGCATTGGGCAAGAAGCAAAAAAAAACATCTTGAATAGGTCACCATCATCCATTACAGGTCTAACAAATAGACGCTGATCACATTCACCCACACAAATGCATCTCTGCTAACGGTAAACACCTACATCCCACCACCTTTGATCGTTGACATAGCAACAAGAGAAATAGACATGAGCACATTATGATGCCGCATTTCAGATTTGTTGTTTTTTTGGGACATTCTTTTTGCATTGCTCCTGTGTTGTGTATTCAAATGATCTGCTACCATTAGTGGTTGCGATTGCATCTGTGAAAATAATTCACCTTTACTCCAGACAGACAGTTATGTACTTTCCCCAGCCTGAGCTGTTTCTATGGTTACCATCACTATTTGTTTGCAAGGGCTTGTGGTGTTTAATTATCCTGGCTATGGATAGTTGTTGCCTGAACTGAGGGAGTTGTCATGTAATTGTCAGGAGAAATGACACCGCGTGGACTGCCAACAGGGCGATTAGCTTCTTTGTGTTAGAAGTTGTGAAGGTTTATTAAACCCTGACGAAAGAAGTGTGTTATTTACTACCTTCATTTCACAATTTCATGATATCATTAGTCAGCTCATTGATGCTTTCATATCATATTTCCTTGGACTGGGGAAGTGTTGGCAGCTCTTCTGATATTATATCCATATATCTCTTAGCGTTACATCAGTGTGACTCTTGCTGCGTTTTGTCGTCCCTTCAGAAGCGGGAGATCCCAGATTACCTGTGTGGGAAGATCAGCTTTGAGCTGATGAGGGAACCCTGCATCACACCCAGTGGGATCACTTATGATCGCAAGGACATTGAAGAGCACCTACAGGTAAAACCTTCGTCAGCTGCATTATGTTTTAGGGTTTTCTGTCCGTCTGACGTTACCTCAGAAAACATTTTGAAGAGATGTTCTTTAAATTTGGCAGAAATGTCCACTTAGGCTCCAGAATTAACTGATTTCCTTTTGGTAGTCAAAGCTCAAGGTCACTGTGACCTCACACATCCATGTGCTTATGACAATTTCACACAAATGTCGCTGAGAATAAAACGATGAAGTGATGACACCCTTTCACACTGAAATGGCTGTAAACTGCAACTTCACGGGTTGCTGGAGGCAGACAACCACAAGGCGGTAGTTCAAGTTTCTTTTATGACCACTGATTTAGTAATAAGTTCTAAAAGGAACACATTCAATTTCAACAGGGGAATTCAGACCACATATGTTCAGAAGTGGCCTCTGTACACATTTGTAAACAACAGCTGAAAACCCTTTTTGACTTATTCTTCCATTTATTTATTTGATCAAGTACTTGTATGTGTTACATTTGACATTTTTTAAAAAGCACTTTGAGCTACACCTCTTGTCTGAAAAGAGCTCTATAAATGTAGATGTGTGACTTGGTAATGCTAAAATGAAATGACACTTTTTGTTGTAGATGTGCCCAAAAACGGTCTTATTTGCATGAATTAGCTATATAACCTAGCAGTAGCTAACACTAGCGTATAACCTGCTCTCTGTGCAGCGGGTGGGTCACTTCGACCCGGTCACCAGGAGCCCCCTGACCCAGGACCAGCTGATCCCAAACCTGGCCATGAAGGAGGTGATCGATGCCTTTATCCAGGAGAACGGCTGGGTGGAGGACTACTAAAGGGACCCCCCCCCACCACCATCCCCTCCCATCTCTCAATCCATACTCCCCATACTCAACACAAAGCCTGGACAACACCAGACTACAGAAGACAGACACCCCAACCCCCCCCCCCCCCCCCCCTGTCTGGATTATGTACTTTTACACAAGCGGGGAAACACCACATTATGGACTACCAGATGGGAGCCATGTATCTCGGTCTGCCTCTTACCCCCCCCCCCCCCCACATTTGATCTTTGCTGTAAAACTCCCCGCTCATACTTTCTGAGGCTCTGCTGCTCCCTTTAAGACCCCCCCCTCATCTCATTCTGCTCTTTCTTTACCTTCTACCTTCCTTCCTTTTCCTCCTCTCCTCCTTCCTCTTCCTTCTCTCCTCCTTCCTCTTCCCTTCTGTCATGCTGTATTTCTCCAGCCTGACTCCCTTCTTTTCTCTCAAAAAAGGGGCCACACTCTCAGGTCTCTCTCGCTCCCTCCCTCTCTCTTTCTCTGAGTGCCACAATCCTTGGAAAGCATCAGCATTTGCACTCCAGTGTTTCACACACACCACCAATATTAATATATTACACATGGTGGACATTAAGACATAGGCCTTGTATTTGGCGTTTACTTTAGTTTTTCATATACATTGGAGCATTTGCCCACTTCTTAATGTACATTTGCTAAAGTGGGACCTGAAATGCCAAAATCCTTTTCTCCATGAAGGTGTATGCAAGTTTCACATGATGAGAATTGAAAACTAGTCATGTAGGGAATCAAGTCTCTTCTCCACCTGCAGGTGGTGCTCCAAACATGCCTACTCATGTCTCCATACTGTAAGACTCTTAAGAGGATGGTTAGTTTTTGTTCTTAGCATATCAATCACACCCCATTACAGACAATTTAAATACGTTGAATGTATGCATAATGTACTCTTTAGGTTTAGGCTTGACCTACAGTAATTCAAAGTGTTTTTTATCGGGACAATACAAGGATTTCATGAAAAGCGGCCTTGAACTGGATGCTGAAAACCAACGGAGATGACCGCTGTATACAAAAAAAAAAGTTTTCACATTGCTGGATATTAATTGAAAATGTTTGAATATTGATAGATGACATTAGCTGTTGAAAAACCTGCTTCGGAGGACGGTCTGTGCTGTGTGTGTTGTTCATAGAAACAAAAAATTGTGCTTGGACGTTGTGTTTGGCTCGTGCTGTTTGCCTGGAATGACCGTGGACGCTCACATCAAGCATGACGTGATTTTTTATTTTCCTTTGCAAAGGCAAGAGGATGGTTTTCATTGGTCTCACCGTTTTGCTGTTCGTGTTATTTCCATAGACTGTATGGTTATTTCTCATGGTTGCAACATCTTCTGTAAACCAATCACCAGTGTGGGACAAAGTTGTGTGTTGTTGCAGGGATTTGAGGTTTGCTAGTATCGATGTAACAACGTCCGTGTTTAAAATGCTGGAAGAGTTTCGACCATCTTTTCTCATCCTTACCTCAGTCCAAGTTTGTCGGTGCTGGTTTTCTTTCTGTAAAATTTTCATTTCATCAGTTCACAGGTTATTTTCCCGCCGAATGTGCGTCCGTGGTGAATCCGGTCTGTGGTTCATGTCGGGGTGCAGGTAGTGTAAATAATTTGCTTGTGTATCTCAGATTTTATTTCTTGACAAAATAGGGTTATTTTTTTTTCTTTTTCTTGAGAAATCCTAGAGCTTGAGAAACTGTATTAAATGTAGATATGTTGATAACATAAATGCCTGGTTCAGTTTTCATTTGCCCCCATTAAACCGTGAACTTTGAGTTTGTTGTTTTTCTGACTCCGTACAGATTCCACAATTTTGCTGCTACAAAGAGTATTATTGCAGCTGTACTACAAAGCAAAACATGATCAGCGACACAAGCCCTGCAATAAATACACATTTGGTGAAGTTAATATTAGTTTTTTGACTTGATCTCTATTTTGAGTAGGCCTATGTCATTTCTTGTAGACAAAATGTCCCTTTGTCTTTGAGTCGACTTTTGTGTTGACGCAAGCATTTTTCTCTTCCTGCCCGCAACTGTCTAGCCCCCTCATACCTATTTATGTTACCTTTTTTTTTCTCTGAAACAAACTTTATGATAGATCTTAATGAAAGCACACTTGACATTTATATCAGAGCTGAACTGATTAATCATCCAGGCTGATTTGCAGATATTTCAGTATCAGTCTGATGCTAAATGTCATTGAATAAGTAAAAGAAAGTATTTATTTTCATGGTCAAAACATTTTTATTTCTTATCACTCAAAACTTTAAAGGTATGTATGTTTATTGGATCTAATTTTGTTAATTTGATATGACATTGAGTTTGACGAATGGTTATATTTAAAGCCAAGCATGCTCAAGAATAAGCCTCTCATGTCCTGGCTGTCAAATAGATGGGAATTATGTTTTTAACTGACTATTTCTTCAGTAGAAAGGCAGTGAATTATTCAGATTTAGCTGGAAGTTAATTGTTATTTTTCAGTTTTTTGATAATCACAAACCAAATGTCAATCCTGTTCATTTCAATTGGCAATCATCCCAGACAGATCTCAAAACACTGTCATTTCAAAGTAAAAAAGTATCTGCATAGTTGAAACGACTAACAAAAAAGGGACAAATATGTCATAATGACCCCTTAAGAACGACTACAACACCTGCAGAAATGTCTGCCACAGATCCTCTATAAAACATTGTTCTCAGTGTGTGAGAACACTGTGTACGTCTACCATGTGATGTGGACACAAACACATATGTGAGGGTGTGTGTTTCAGTCACATGTAGACGGACACACAGCCCTCACACACACCAGGCCTATTGTCAAGAGTATCCGTCTGATGCTGATGTCACGGCCCGTGTCAGGAGGGAAGAGGACAGAGCTTTTCAGAGCAGACAGAGTTAGCAACATCGAGACAACACAACAACATCAAGATGGTGAGAAAAGCTGTTTCCTTTTCATATAATTTGGTCTCTGGTGTGATGTGTGTGTTCAGGGATGAATAGGTCTTAATTCTGGATAATGTGTTTTGTTTTTGTTCTTTTTTAAGAAGGTCAACACTGTGAGGTTTGCTCTGGTTGTTGTTGGTGTCTTTGGATGGTCTATGATGCTCCCCTCTGCCACACAAGGTATGAAATTAACAGGATGTCATTTAAAAAAAAAAGTAATTTAACCTCTAGATGTATGCCACAGCCAGGCTCTGGGGAGTAACGTCATACTTGTAACACGATTTTGTAATTAGAATACAAACATTTTTTTAACTGTATTCCCTAACACTAATCAGATTACTGGTACACACATGTGGATTACTAGCAGAATCAAAATGTTACAAAACATGTAAAATAAAGAGCCATGTATTAAGAAGCATAGACATTGAAACACTAGACACTTAGTTGTTCTTTCTTTACATAATGCACTTAAGTTAAAGCCGTCTTATTGACATTTATTTTCTCAGATTTTTTAGAATTCCATTTGATATTGAGTTTATCAAAAGTAACAGAAATGAATCAGGTTACATTACTTTTAACTTGTTATACTTAGATAAAGTCAGTGATAAACATTTTTTACAAGTAACTAGTAATTTTTCTAATTTATCTTTATTTGTTATCAAGGTTTGTCCATAAATGTACTTTGCTCAATAAACAACATTCATTCCATTACCGGAGATATAAAATAAAGAAACATGCCATGTTGAAGCTTTAAAACTGAAACCATTTGTTTTAAGTGAATAAAAAGAAAGAAAGAAAATAAAAAATTGAGTAAGGAAAACTAGCCTACTTAAATGAATAATAATTATAAAAGACAACCAAATAATGATTAAAAGTATGTGTTTAAATAAAATTACAACATATACAGTATACATATTGGTAATTATATGAGGGACTACATTAAAAAATGAACATATTTACATTTTGATAATAGTTGATTGCAAAACTGTGATTTATAAAGGGGGCCCTTGCTTCATAACATAGTAAAAAATGACTATATGAAGAGCCGAGCAGTGAGATAAACATGTGATATTTATAAGCCTAATTGTACTGGAATACATTTTTATAGTAACCCTCCCACCCTGACTATATCTCTCTCTGTGTCTCACTGACTGTATCTTCCCTGTTTGTGTTGCCAGTGGGTCTGAGCGACAAAGTCCTGGTGTTCCCTTACGAGACCGACTTCAGCTTCGTGTCCCTGATCCCTCAGAAGGAGATGGGGCTGAGGGCCTTCACCCTCTGCATGCGGGTGGCCACGGAGCTGCCTGAGGACCGCCAGATCATCCTGTTCGCCTACCGCACCGCCGACTACGACGAGCTGAACGTGTGGCGTGAGAGCGACGGGCGCGTCTCCTTCTATATGAGCGGCGACGGCATCTTCTTCCACCTGCCGCCCATCACCACCTTCCGCACAAGCCTCTGCCTCACCTGGGACTCTCGCACCGGCCTCTCTGCCTGCTGGGTGGATGGGAAACGCAGCACTTACCAGGTCTACAAACCCGGGCACAGCATCCGTCCCAAAGGCTCCATCCTCCTGGGGCAGGATCCAGACAAACACCTGGGGGGTCTGGAGGCCGGGCAGAGCTTCGTTGGCGAGATGACGGATCTGAACATGTGGGACTTTGTGCTCTCCAGGAGCATGATCCAGGCCTGGCATTACGGACACAGGGTCCCCAAGGGAAACGTCTTCGACTGGGGCACCATGGAGTACGAGCTGAACGGGAACGTGATGGTGGTGGATGATGACTGACTGGACGTGGAGTCGGGGGCAGAGAGGAAGGAGGCTTTAGAGATCTGTGTTGGACTGATACTGATGTGTGGTTTTCTTTCTTAGATTCAGTACTGTTTCATGTTAGAGCCCTTTAACTGAGCTTCCAAAAACACAACAATTCTCAGTTTAATTTGACATTAAAGGTGGGGTAGGTAAGTTTGAGAAACCGGCTCGAGATACACTTTTTGTTATATTCCATGGAATGCTCTTAACATCCCGATAGCAATAGATATCTTAAGTGCTTTGACAAAAAATCCATAAAAAAATATCATCTGTGGAAGCCATAGTACTGTAAAAAGCATGACCAATCATTTTAGCCGGCCCGACTAAAATAACTGGATGGCCTACCTGCCTGTCAGCCTTCCATCTGTGCACAAACTTATCTCGTGCCCTCATTGGTCATGTGCGCGTTCGTGTGTGTTGGAGGAGGGGCTCTGTAAGGAAGTGGCAGATTTTTTCCGGCTGTGTATTTTCAAATTCTAGCGCACTCCAGCTGGTTTCTCCAAAATTACCTACCCCACCTTTAAGGAATTGTTGATCATTAATGGATTATTTGAAAGGCATACCGTGCAAAAGACCAGGAGCCCGAAGTGTCCTCAAAATAACCGTGAAGATACATATAACAACCACAGAGAGACTGTTTAAACCGCTGCAAAGAGACACAAGGGACCAGGCGAAGGGACGCCCCAAAAGGGCAAAACAAACCACGGAGAGACAACCCTGTAAAAAAGAGACACAAACAACAACAAAAATTGCAAAACAACTACAAACAGATGTAAAATGACTAAACACAGTGACAAAAAAACTACATAGAACCAAACACAGATGCAAAAAACAGTACAAAGGGACACAAGATGACTGCAAAGTGCACAGCCACAAACAAAAATAAATTAAAACGATCACAAAACAGACACAAAATAACAAAAAGGCTAAACAACTATAACTCCTGTGTGTCTGGCTCCTATGTCGGAGAGGTGTTGGGGCCTTTTTCATGTCTGTGCCCAGGGGCCAAGTCGTTCATCCCCCTCCCATGCGCTTGATGACTAGTTAAGAACGTAGAAAGGAGTAGTGTTTCAGTACATTGACTGAGAAACCTCCTATGCAGTAATCTGTCATTATTTTAGACAACAAAATGCACTAGCAAAAAATAAAAAATATTTGTGGTGAATTAAAGTATTTTTATTAAAATGTACATCAGAGGGCTTTTTCCAAACGGTACCTCAGTTTAAGATCCTTGTTTCAAAAATTAGCATTTTATTTTTTTTAGTCTTCTTTGTGTCTCCAAGCTTCATCCTTTGAAAGACCAACCTCTAAATATGGAGCTTTAAATGTTGACGTGCCAGTTGCATCCATAGGGTGGCACTCTGCACTAGTTCACATCAAACACAAACGTGTGTCAAGTGAAACGTTATCATGCATCTGCTAATGTGATATAGTTATGAACCGAAGTCCACCAATAACGGATTACGATCTGCTGCTATAAAGTATTTAAAACTATTTTTCCAAAAACCTTTAATGCGTTTTTAATAGAAAACTATAAGGCCAAAAATACAGGTTCAATTCAAATCATACAGTAATTAATACAACTAAAACCCCAAATAAAACCTGTCGTCATGCATTCAGATAGTACAATTGTGTTTGTCCAATGATATTGATGAAAATAGGAAGTGGGTATTAAAACACTGAGATGCGTTATTTCTTAATGATTTACTGCAGTGAGAGACAAATAGCAATTATCATGTTTAATATCCACCGCCGTAATGTTGCCTCCGGTTAGCGTATACTCACTCATGAATTTCACATGTTTCCACTGATGTAAGAACGCTTTTGGGTCTGAAATAAAACCTTGCCATGTGCATAACTAATAATGTTTGTAATTAAAGGGAATATTTCGTCTTTGAACTCTTTCAGCTTCCTTTCCCTAATAATCTGTTTTTGGGACACCTTTTAAACGAATAATAACTTGTTTACATAATTAGAACAAGGGACTTTTTATTTATTTAGGAAATTAAAGAATAAACCTTTTCACTTATTCAGCTGGAGGAGAAAGGGACACCAAACTTCCACCATGATAGAGAAATACCCAGTTTTCAATCAATCAATATTTACTGAGAAAGTATAAATTAAGTTTGACTTATCGGACAGTTTTCTAGGAATCATACTGACATGTTCATTGATTTTGAAATACTTGTGCTCCATTGATAACATTTCAATTTCTAGAAGACACAGCTTCTGCCCCCCTTTCTTGAAGGCCCTTGTTTCTATAGTATTTCCTCATGTCTCCATAAACTGCAAAAATAAGGCTGACGGTTACGTGTAACTTGCAGAAATCAAATCATATGGAGCTGCTTCACTAACAAACCCCCTGAGAATAACTTCAAGGGCAGATCTTCTCCATCCAAGTGTAACACAGTAACCCTAAGTTCCAGTTTGCCGCTCTTCCTCCTCCTCCTGCACAACCACCATGACCTCCTTGCAGAGATGAGGAAGAAGTTTCCAGCGTGCATGCAGGCTCCGTTGAGGGTGGGAAAGTGCTGCGTTCCCTGTGTGTGTGTGTGTGTGTGTGTGTGTGTGTGTGTGTGTGTGTGTGTGTGTGTGTGTGTGTGTGTGTGTGTGTGTGTGTGTGTGTGTGTGTGTGTGTGTGTGTGTGTGTGTGTGTGTGTGTGTGTGTGTGTGTGTGTGTGTGTGTGTGTGTGTGTGTGTGTGTGTGTGTGTGTGTGTGAGAGAGAGAGAGTGTTTATTCTGACCGAATCACCCGTCGGCTCTCTCGCAGCAGCTAAATAAGAAGGCAGGGCCAACGAGTTCTGACTGCGGGTCAGCAGCCAAATGTTCCACCTTCTTGGATGTTGCAATGCATCAATCGCGGTGCCCACTCACTGTGTGGTAACACCTTTGTGGACCATCTGCCCATGCCTGGCTTCTCAGCCCTCTGGTACGCACACACTTACACACACACACACACACACACACACACACACACACACACACACACACACACACACACACACACGGTCGACACAAGGTCTGTTATTCCCCTATTTTTGCATCTCTGCCCAAGAGGGGTAATAATTCCTCATACACACACAATGCCCACTTATTACCTTAATTAAAATATTTGTTTTGTTTTAGTAACTTTATTTTAAAACATCTCAAAATCTAATCTTCCAATTTCTTGCACTGATCACAAGACCTGCAAATAAAATTGCACATTGTCTTTTAGCAGCACAAGCTTTTTATTTAAATGTTGGGGCCACACACTCCGCAGTTTCTGCACTAGAGGAGAACTTTAGGTGTGAAACAGAACACACACACACACACACACACACACACACACACACACACACACACACACACACACACACACGCACACAGTGTTACTTCCTTTTTTTTAGTTCCTTTATTGTTACTGTCATTTTAATTCTAAGACATCTTAATGTCCTGATAACAATGTGCTTCCCCTTAAACAAATTATTTTGTGTCATAGCTTTTTTTTTGTTACCAACTCAACCTTTTTATTTCATGTTAGTATTTAGGGGCCACACACTGCTGTTTTCTGCACCAAAGCAATAGTCATGGTGTGTAACAGAAGGACACAATAAGTGGCCGTGCGTCTCCACAGACTGGATAATTAATCCCTCTGTGTCTCTCCATGTATTATCCAGCTAAGCAAACAGTTGCAGGGCTGCTTGTCCTGCTCGCGGACAGTGTGTGCCTGTGAGATCTGCATATTGGCCCATGGTGGTTTAGGCTGTCTGAGGCGAGGCGGTGCCACTGACTGTATGTCCATGCGTGTGGAGCTGGTGAAAATGTTTCCACATGAGAGGAGATAGACGGCGAGAGGGAGCCCCTCGTGAGGCGGCGAGGGGAGACAGAAGGAGGGCCGTTCTGGATTCCTTCGAGCAACTCCAAATAGATTTCCAGGCAAAACATATTTGCATACGCAAGACAGTGCTACGAGCTATCTGTGAGCTGTGGCATGTGTGCATTGAACAGATGGATACTTTTTTTAGAGCTTTCTTGCAGAAATATTCAGCCCATTAAATTAAGATCTTAGGCATTATTCAGCCTGCTTTTGTTCACGAAGCTCACAAAGACTCATCAGGGTCAAGTTGCTCTTGTTTGTCAGATTTAGTGCTTGATAGATAAAAGAAGATGATGTAAACGTGACAGAAGATCATGTTTTAAACATCAATTCCTGGGAAATAATGTTGTTACAATGCCAGTATTTGCATTCAGAGATGTATTTGTTAAGCAAGACATTAATGTCAAAATGTCCCCTTAAAACTCCCCTTAAAAGTCAAGCTGTCAAATTGATTGAACGTTTGCTGGATGTTTTGTGCTCTCTTATGATGATCTTTGATCTGCTATGGGCACAAAAGGGATCAAAAGGGCTATCCCTGTTCAATTATATCTCCTATTGTTTAGCTGTAGCTTGTTTTTGTCCCCAAAAAAAACATTCTATGGCAAATTGCACGACAACAATGTGATTCCAAAATCTTGGGCAGGGCCGGTTTTTGACATAGGCGGTCGCCTAGGGCGCCAGATCTGGGGGGTCGCCGCGCTGGTAGCTCTGGGAGGGGAAAACAACATTTTTGACTGTTTGCGCTCATTCTAATTTTCATGTAACAACATTCATAATTAAGTAAAGGTAACACCCTTTTCACCCCGGTTACACGTTTCATTTGCCCTGTACGATGGGCGCTGTAAATGATGAAAGTGGGGGATGTTGGCTTATCAGGCGCCCACAGCTCACAGCCAAAGTGCGAGCGTGGGAGCGAGCGAGAGAGAGGGCGCACCGGTACCGACTATTGTTGTTGTTAGCATCTGGTGCTAGCTGCGCTAACGGATATACGAAGATGTTTCTACAAGAAGGTAGAGGGAGAGCTCTCTCCTGTCAGACTGAGAGGCTGATAACTACAGCTCGGTGAGGTAAAGGACTCTGAGTGTTTCGATAGGTAACTTTAGACTCACAATTTTGCTCACAATTTATGTAAATAAATATTTCCAAGGCACACCTTTATAATTATTAGGATAAATAAAAACAGGTTTGAAATCATTCCAATGTAGGACAGTAAACCAAAAATATCGTTTAAAACTGGAGATATTTAAAAAAATGCATAAATAAATAAATGTTAACTAGGTAAAATAAGATATAAATGAACAACCAAAATAAAATACGTTACATTTATTTGTTATTGGCTATATAGGTTATTGGTTATGTTCACATACTTTTTTGGTTATTAAAATGTAAACCGATCTTTTTCATTTGGGTGTTTAAAGTTGTACCCCCTAGATCTAGTCTCTAGTACGGTGGCTGAGATACGGTGGCCCTGAAGTGCAAGACACCACAGCATTTCAGAAAACTCCACAGCATTTCAGAAAACACTACAGCATTTCAGAAAACACCACAGCATTTCAGAAAACACCACAGCATTTCAGAAAACACCACAGCATTTCAGAAAACACCACAGCATTTCAGAAAACACCACAGCATTTCAGAAAACACAACAGCATTTCAGGAAACACAACAGCATTTCAGGAAACGCCGCAGCATTTCAGGAAACGCCGCAGCATTTCAGAAAACACCACAGCATTTCACAAAACACCACAGCATTTCAGAAAACACAACAGCATTTCAGAAAACACAACAGCATTTCAGGAAACGCCGCAGCATTTCACAAAACACCACAGCATTTCAGAAAACGCCACAGCATTTCAGAAAACACTATAGCATTTCAGAAAACGCCACAGCATTTCAGAAAACACTATAGCATTTCAGAAAACGCCACAGCATTTCAGAAAACACAACAGCATTTCAGGAAACACCGCAGCATTTCAGAAAACACCACAGCATTTCAGGAAACGCCGCAGCATTTCACAAAACACCACAGCATTTCAGAAAACGCCACAGCATTTCAGAAAACACTATAGCATTTCAGAAAACGCCACAGCATTTCAGAAAACACAACAGCATTTCAGAAAACACCACAGCATTTCACATTGGACGGAAAGGGTATTCCTTTAGGGAGAACACTTCTTGTTTGTGATTGGACAGAGCCAGCCAGAGAAGCACTGCTGTGATTGGTTATTTTTGCTGCCAGTCAAGAAATCACGCTTCGTGATTGGTCAGCACCCGACAGCGCAATATGTCCCACAACCTCAGCCGTTAGCTGTTAACACTCACAGCTCACAGCTCCTCATATCTGTTCAGAAACTGGACAAAAGTTAAACATGTACAAACCACAGACTGTCTGTGTCATGGCGAGTACAGTCGCTGCTTTATTTATGTCTGTATGACGTTGTTGTGAGTGTGGACGGAGCAGCTACAGGTTAGCTTAGCCTGATGGATCCAATTCCATTCAGAAAACACGCATTTTAAAAGCTTTTCGCCTGCCGTCTTGTCTGCAGACTTGTCAAAGCATTATTTCATTGTTTTTACTGTCATTCAAACAAGACGTGCTGGAGAGGGGGCGGATCGATCAGGCTAAACTAACCTGTAGCCAGGGGCGGACTGGGGGGAAAAAGTGGCCCGGGGATTAATTGACAGACAGGCCCACTTAATGCGCGGCATGTATCGGCCGGCTGGCGACGAAAGTATGTTACTTGCATGCATTTTATGTTATTTTGGACCATTATTCATATAGTAATCACATTACCTGAGCCCTTGAGTTGCCTAGAGCAAAAATAGTTACAGCATATATTTTGTGATCTTTAACAGATCATTGATGCAATAACATTTGGACCAATTTGCCTGACTTGACACATGGAATAAAACATGGGCGTAGGAAGCATCCTCAATGTGGGTGAGACAATTTAACAGGGGGTGTGGGCAGGTGGTGGACCTCACCTTCTCTAGGGGGGTCCGGGGGCATGCTCCCCCGGGAAGATTTATTTTTAAATGTTGAAGTTAAATGCATCAATCTGGTGCACTTTGAGAGCAGAACTGTAAACAGATTTACTTTTTCTTTCAACATTTATTTGAACAGCAAGTGGAGGCAAAAGTGACTGCACCCAAAACAATAAACCTGCTAGCTAACTAGCCTAAACTCAGTAACAGAATGTGGGCAACACGTTCTTCTCCACAGCTGCGCGACCTCTGAGTCAGACGTCACTTCCCCCTTTTCGATCCTACGGGTACAGCCACTCCCCCTGAACCCTGTTTCCCTGACAACTCTCTCTCCCGTCAGATTTGACTTCACTCGCATTTATGTCCATATCGATCAGATCTAGCTAATGATATGACTACCTGCTAAGCTTATCAAAAGAGACCTAAACAATAAGCGTCGCTATGCAACCGGGTGAGGCCACAAAGTATAGCGCAGCATTATGCATTTGTTTACATGCCCACCGGAACCCCGAGGCATTACCAACAGATCAACGCACAATCACCCCATACCCCATCTCTTACTCCACATTAAAGGTAGGGTAGGTAAGTTTGAGAAACCGGCTCGAGATACACTTTTTGTTATATTCCATGGAATGCTCTTAACATCCCGATAGCAATGAATATCTTAAGTGCTTTGACAAAAAATCCATAAATAAATGTCATCTGTGGAAGCCGTAATACTGTAAAAAGCACGACCAATCATTTTAGCCGGCCCGGCTAAAATAACTGGATGGCCTACCTGCCTGTCAGCCTTCCATCTGTGCACAAACTTATCTCGTGCCCTCATTGGTCATGTGCGCGTTCGTGTGTGTTGGAGGAGGGGCTCTATAAGGAAGTGGCAGATTTTCTCCGGTTGTGTTACTTCAAATTGTAGCGATCTCGAGCCGGTTTCTCAAACTTACCTACCCCACCTTTAAGTGTTAGACATTATAATTGACTATTCCTGTCTGTCACATACTCTTTTGTCTGTCACATACTCTTCTTATCTGTCACATAAGTGGCGCAACTGATGCAGTATTGCGCTAAAGGGAAATTATTTTGACCGGACATTTTGACCGGAGAGATTTAGATTTGCCGGTCTTCAGCATATTTTACCGGTCATAGTCCGGTAATTACGGGCTAACGGGAACTCTGCTTCACGCTTTGGAGCTTGTTTATCCATCTGTAAGCAACTGCCATGCTAGGTCTCTCAGTCACTCACTCCTGAGCCTATTTTTTTATTTTTTATTTTTAGCCCTCCGGCCCACGCACAGCACCGGCCCACCGGGAGAACTCCCGGTATTCCCAATGGCCAGTCCGCCCCTGCCTGTAGCTGCTCCGTCCACACTCACAACAGCGTCATACAGACATAAATAAAGCAGCGACTGTATTCGCCATGACATATATAGACAGTCTGTGTTTTGTATATGTTTAACTTTTGTCCAGTTTCTGAACAGATATGAGGAGCTGTGAGCTCTGAGTGTAACAGCTAACGGTTCGGTTGATGTGTTGGGACATGTTGCGCTGTCGGGTGGTGACCAATCACGAAGCATCATTTCTTGACTGGCAGCAAAAACAACCAATCACAGCAGTGCTTCTCTGGCTCTGTCCAATCACAAACAAGAAGTGTTCTCCCTAAAGGAATACCCTTTCCGTCCAATGTGAAATGCTGTGGTGTTTTCTGAAATGCTGTGGTGTTTTCTGAAATGCTGTGGTGTTTTCTGAAATGCTGCGGTGTTTTCTGAAATGCCGTGGTGTCTTGCACTTCAGGGCCACCGTACTAACTAAGGTGCTATGTAAATGAATCACCAGGATATAGAGGTTTTTAATTACAGGAAGTAGCTGGGCAAACACATTGTTCAGATTGCCCAGTATGACAAGATACTTGAAATAATAGAGACAGAACAAACAAAGAGACATGTTCACAGAAACAAATGCAAGTATTACGCACAGACACACGTCAGGCATACAAGACAAACAGTAGAATCGACAAGTCAGATCAGCAGAACGAGGCATCATTAGAAAAACAAGCCGGACAAATGTAGTTTCCCCTTTATAGCAAGCATGTCAATGTCACAAACACACACACACACACACACACACACACACACACACACACACACACACACACACACACACACACACACACACACACACACACACACACACACGCACACACACACACACACACACACACACACACACACGTAAAATATGTGTATAGAGCAGACAATTAATAAAAAGGCAATGATAGGTGGGGGAATGTGAAGACAGACAGATGGGACAGAAGAAAAAGGTCACACAGGATGTCCAAGTACCACGATATGCAGCATTTGACCGAAGGGAGCTCAGAAAGAATGAGTATGCAGAAGAGAAGCTAAATGAAAGGCATGAGAAAATTATGAGGAACTTGGACACAGAGGATCTGGAAAGGGTAATTGTGAAAGTAGTGGAGGTAGCGCAGGAATATAAATGTATAGTACATAGAGAGAACAATTACAAATCTTTAACAATATAGAGAAATAAGGGGCAGAATGTTAGAAGAGAGTGACAGGCTGGGGAGAGAAAGCAGAAAGGGTGTGGAGTAGGGCCAGAAGGAGCAGAGCCATTTAGTTGCTATGGTAATTTTTGGGATGTATTTTAACGCCTTATTTTTGCATAACAAATAAACCAAAAGAAAGTTCTTTGCACACACCAAATAGGGATCTGAGGAACTGCTGTGAAGCTAAAAGTGGCGACTCCGGCAATCAATGGCTTTGCATCACACTACCAGCATGTATCTGGTAACAATATTTTGAACTCCATGCATATTATTTTTGCGCTTTTTGGAAATGTATCTATACCATGCATAATCAAATGGCCACTGGAGTAATGAAGAAACTGAAAAGTGACCCTAATAATAAAACAACAAGAGCTACAATATGGGAGGGAGTGGACGGAACACTTACAAATGTGGGCCGGTAGGATTTAGGCAAAAAAAAGATTTTTTTTAATTATTTTTTTTATTTAAATGTTTTTATTGTTTGGCCCTCCGGCCCACGCACAGTACCGGCCCACCGGGAAAACTCCCGGTATTCCCAATGGCCAGTCCGCCCCTGCCTGTAGCTGCTCCGTCCACACTCACAACAGCGTCATACAGACATAAATAAAGCAGCGACTGTATTCGCCATGACATAGACAGTCTGTGTTTTGTATATGTTTAACTTTTGTCCAGTTTCTGAACAGATATGAGGAGCTGTGAGCTCTGAGTGCTAACAGCTAACGGTTCGGTTGATGTGTTGGGACATGTTGCGCTGTCGGGTGGTGACCAATCACGAAGCGTCATTTCTTGACTGGCAGCAAAAATAACCAATCACAGCAGTGCTTCTCTGGCTGGCTCTGTCCAATCACAAACAAGAAGTGTTCTCCCTAAAGGAATACCATTTCCGTCCAATGTGAAATGCTGTGGCGTTTTCTGAAATGCTGTTGTGTTTTCTGAAATGCTGTGGTGTTTTCTGAAATGCTGTGGTGTTTTCTGAAATGCTGTGGTGTTTTCTGAAATGCTGTGGTGTTTTCTGAAATGCTGTAGTGTTTTCTGAAATGCTGTGGTGTTTTCTGAAATGCTGCGGTGTTTTCTGAAATGCTGTGGTGTTTTCTGAAATGCTGTGGTGTTTTCTGAAATGCTGCGGTGTTTTCTGAAATGCTGCGGTGTTTTCTGAAATGCTGTAGTGTTTTCTGAAATGCTGCGGTGTTTTCTGAAATGCCGTGGTGTCTTGCACTTCAGGGCCACCGTACTAACTAAGGTGCTATGTAAATGAATCACCAGGATATAGAGGTGTTTAATTACAGGAAGTAGCTGGGCAAACACATTGTTCAGATTGCACAGTATGACAAGATACTTGAAATAATAGAGACAGAACAAACAAAGAGACATGTTCACAGAAACGAATGCAAGTATTACGCACAGACACACGTCAGGCATACAAGACAAACAGTAGAATCGACAAGTCAGATCAGCAGAACGAGGCATCATTAGAAAAACAAGCCGGACAAATGTAGTTTCCCCTTTATAGCAAGCATGTCAATGTCACAAACACACACACACGCACACACACACACACACACACACACACACACACACACACACACACACACACACACACACACACACACACACACACACACACACACACACACACACCAATACCTGCACATGTGCACACTTGCACACCTGCACACACACACACACACACACACACACACACACACACACACACACACACACACACACACACACACACACACACACACACACACACACACACACACACAGGTTGCAACATTTACACTATCAACAATACTGTATTTAGTCAAATGCATCCCAGACCAACTTGGCAAGTGGTCACATTTGCATTTAGCACATTCCACTTGTGATCAGTAGCTCAAAACACATTTCAACATACAGTAACTGTTAACAGAGAATTCATGTATTATATTCTGAATAGTTGTTTAGTAAGAACTTAAGTCTCGTAAATAATTCTGTTATTCATGTGTGGTAAATAATTATAAAGAAAGAAATGTAAACTTACATTTATTAATGTTATTACAGGTATGAGTTTCTGTTTTCTTTTATTGTTTCTTAATTTGTAACATGTATTTGATATGCCTTGCACCAAAACACTTGTACTGTTTGAACTTGAAAGTTTATACAACCTCTTTAACGCCTAGACCATTATTTGAGCAAACACAGGTGTGCCCTGCGAAAGGATATTATACAAAAATAATATTTGAGCAGGGTTTCCATTAAACAAGCATTTGTCAATAATGACCTGCATATAAGGATAAAAGGATTCAGATCGGAACTATTTCCAGTGTGCTGGAGAGCTTCCAGGTACGTCTGTTCTCTGATCAGCTTCACTGTTCCTTTTATTTTCGATTTGTAATTATATCAGTAAAAAATTAACTAAATAAAGTATCACTTTACATTTCGGAATGGTAATAGCAAATGACTAATCATTAGTATGCTAAAATAAATTAACCAAAAATAGGTTGTACAGTAAGAACTGTATTTGCATTCTCGCTAGAAATGTGAGATAATCCTCAAGATTCTTGATTTTGATAAAAAAATAAGCTTCACGTATATATAGATATGCATAATTTAGTGAAAGAGAGTAAAACGTTTTATTTCAATTGTTAAAATAATGATATATAAACTTATGTTTATGTTACCAATTTTCTTTACCAATTTACCAATATAACATGTTTGTGGTCATGTACCTAATTTATTTTTCATTTTCGATTATCAAATGTGTGATAGATCAGTACTGTATATACTAAATGAAGCTGTATATTTAAATATAATGTATTTATTTCTTCTCTAGAAACAGAAAATATCGTATGCTGACCATCATTGTTGGCTGTAAGGTAAGATAATTGTTTTAGAAAACGCAAATGATTGCAAGTCATAAAATGACTTGTTTTGTTAGTTAATTCAGTCATTTTGTTACATATATGTTGTTTGGTTGTGGTAAGAATAATTTACACACCTTTAAATAAGTTTTGTATTTGTTTTATTACTTTCTACATAAAATGTTTTGCAAAACATATGCAAAACATTTTAAATAGTTATCAGTATATAATATATATTGTTTTTTATTTGTAAGAATAATGTGCATACCTTTACAGAATTTCTATCAAAACAAATGCAAAACATTTTAAATAGTTATATTATCTTTGAAAGGAGGACATTATTTCCTCTTTTTAGTGAGTTACCAGTCAGAGTACATTGCAATACAAGTTAAAGCAATAGTTTAAACGTATGAATTTTATTTATAACTCATACTTTTCAATAGTATTCATTGCGGTTTTTAAATGAGCTTCTCTACTGTGTGAAGCTTGAAATGACTCAAACCGGGTTATTTTTTCAGCAACAAATATCAAACGTCACATTTGATAAGTAGCAATATTTTACTTTGTGAAGTATGAAGTGAAGTTAATATAATTCCCCCCTATAACACATATATTCTTCTTTACTAGCTATTCATATTGTAGTAGATACAAATGAATAGATTTTGTATGTGTTGTTTGTGTCTGGTGCCTCTGTAGGAATATCAAGCTGACAGAAAAGCATGACGGGTGCTTTAAAGGTTTTCCTCCTTCTACTTCAAGGTAGGGTTTCCAACAATGTAATGCCTAAAATAAAAAATAGTGCAAAATATGCTTTTTTGTTTTAAATTAACGTTTTGTGGGCATGTGCTGTTAATTTGGACGATTTTGTTTTCCTTTTAATAATGACAGTTTACATTTTTGCTTATTTTTCTGTTTGTTTGAATACTTACAATTTTGTTAACCTTGGCGGATATTTAATTTATTGCTTTTATTTCACCTCAGGTAGCTTATGCTTCAGGTGGGAAATCACCATGCCTCGGAGAATAGAGGGACTAACTGGATCCTGTGTGAAGGTCCCCTGCACTTTCGACGTCGACTCGCAGTTTGATGTAGATCTGGATGATTCCTGCAAAGCAATTTGGATCAGAGGAAGCCCGTTCGGAACAGTTGTGTTTGATTCCAGCCTCACTGGAGCTCAGGCAAGCGGAAACATTCTGCAAGGAAACCTCACAGGGAACCTGCAGAACAAGGAGTGCACCACCATCTTCTACAACATGCCACCGTCCCATTCTGACTACAACTACTACTTCAGGATTCAGTGTGATAACAGGCTGAAGGTCACCTTTCCAACAGGAGTCCGTATCACCACTCAAAGTTTGTAATATTGAGTCTTTTTACTTTTACACTTTACACATCTTTTGGTTTCTCTCTTGTCATTTACTTGTTTTTTTTTACTCCTCAGATGCACTGGACCAACCTACCATAACTCCATCTACGCTGGAGGTAGAAGAGGGGGCTCTGGTGACGTTGAGCTGCACGGCTGTAGCTCCGTGTCCCATCCTTCCCCCAGATCTGACTTGGACCCCCAGGATAGGTGACATTGAGGAGAAACATGAATCTGAATCCATGGTCTCTGTTATGAACTTCACCTCTTCTTACCTCCACAATGGACAGCATTTTTCGTGCACCGCTCTCTACAAACGACAAGCTGGCAACACCGACCGTCGGTTTGAAAAGTTTATGACCCTCCATGTTCTTTGTGAGTATGTTTCAGGCCTTTTCTTGTTGCTGAGTTGGATGTTGATTTAGTTCACATTTAATCATTCCCTTCATTTTATATAATGTGATGTTATGAAATGTTCCTCTGGGGAATCTGCAGAGTATTTGGATCAAGTTGTGTTACAAAAATGTAACTACAGCCAGAAGCTGGTTGGCGTAGCACAGCACAAAGACTGGCAACAAGTGAGAAAACTAGCCTGGCTCTGTCTAAGGGTAACAAAAACAGCTTACTAGATTTTCAATAATCTCTTCCAGATCCTCCAACGAACACATCAGTCAGCTACTCTGCTACAGTAAAAGAGGGCAGCTTGGTGAATCTGACCTGCAACGGCAATGCCAATCCAGCTATGTACACTTGGTACAAAGTGAATGGAGGTCATGTGACCGATGTGGGTTCGGAGAAAATGTTTTCAACCACTGTGTCAGAAGTTGACAGACAATTTTACTGTAAAGTCAGTAACAGATACGGAACCGAGAACTCATCCATCACTCAGATAGACGTACAATGTAAGTCTGATTAAAAAACAGTCAGACAGAGGATAAATATTGACCAGCGATATTTAAAAATATATTTATTTTTGTTTTATTTAGTTCCTCCCAAGGAAACTACAATAATCATTGAGCCTAAAGGTCCACTTTTGGAGGGCAGCTCTGTTTCTCTGCTTTGTAAAAGCCGGGCCAACCCACCTGTGACCAACTACACCTGGTACAAAGGTGATGAAGAGGAAAAGGATGTTGGATCAATCTTGATTTTAAACAATGTCAAACCAAGCAATAGTGGTGACTACTACTGTATAGCAAAAAATGAGCATGGGGACCAAAATTCAACACTGATTCGGCTGGACATTCAGTGTAAGTTGATTTTCACAGTAAATACATTGATTTACACTGTCAACAGACTGAATATTGCTCTGGTGAATCTGAAAACTGCAGACTTGATTATTTGCTGGAAAAAATGGATACCAACCACTTTTTAAATGTTTACTATCATTTAAAGTCCTTTATGTGCTGACTTACTATAGTGTATTCTTATTTATATTATTTAAAGGGGATTTTCACATTTTGGCAACCCAAAAATTGGTAAGACTTGTTATTGAGTCAAGAAGCCAACAAAATGCTTTACTACCACTTAAGCCCAATTGCCCCCGCCGGCAAACACAACAATATTGCACGAAACTGTGTCTCAGGGCTTCTTAACATTTAACAACCTATTAATGTGTCATACTGTACCCACTTAACGGGAAGAAACTCAGCTAACAGACAATATTAACCATTTTGAGCTAAACACAAGGTTAATACCAAGCGTCTGAATTAGCACTAAGCGAACAAATTCTAACGCACTTAGCACATAACTCAAGGTAGAGATATTGTATACTTCATGCTATCTGCACAAACTAGATATCATATGAAGGCTGATATTCCACAGATTCCATTGGTATAAGTATCATCACTGTGCGATCAGAACTCACGGCAGCAAAGGCCAGTAAAGACAACACACAACTTCACTTTACTTGGCCGAAACGGCAAATACGTCTTACCTTTGCTGTTTTCTGATCAAAAGTTGTGTTCAAGGGCATTAAAACGCATAAAGACACTGCTGAAGGTTAATCCAATGTCTCTGTGTCACTTTGAAATGATTACTGATAATCCATCATAACATTTATGGCAATAAACGTATTTTTCATATAGAGTGTAACGGAGCCAACTCACAGGTGTATCATTGCTTTGAGAAAAAAGATTATTCATTTACCCCTTTTAGAAGTGAAGATATAGTCATTTGTTCTGGGCATGTCATTTTCGAGCCTGAGGCCTGAAAAACAGGCTCAGGGCTTAACAGGTTAAACCCCTTGGTAGTGCACACAATAGGGTGTTTTGTACATTGCAAAAAATACATCCAAATCTGTTTTAGACATAGAATATTTAACTTAAATTCAAACCTCGATCTTATAAATTATTAGTATTGTACTTTTAATATATTGTTATAATATATATGTTCAACACAGATGCTCACAGTCCCCCCTGTACTATAAAGGATTTAATAGAAAGCAAATAGTCACATTAAAAATTAAATCAAACATGGCAACTGCATGTTCATTTTCATCTCTGGTCAGAGGAATACAAGTACAACTTCTGTGATTAACTCAAACTATGTTTCATAACACATGTTGTTACTTTGTCCAGCTACTAATATTGCTAAAGGTGGAAAAGTGACTCAGTCCTCCGTGGCGTGGAATGGTGTCCCCGAAAGAGCCATTGATGGAAATGATGCTAGCATATATGGAAAGGGATCCTGTACACACACATCACTACAAAACAAACCCTGGTGGAGACTGGACCTCCTAAAGAGATATAAAATCAACACTGTCACCATCACCAACAGAGGAGACTGTTGCCATGAAAGGATCAATGATGCTGAGATCCACATTGGAAATTCCCTCAATGACAATGGCAACGCTAATCCCAGGTAACAGCACTATCTGCCTTATATTAGATTTACAAATGTTACCTTACCTCTGAAAGTTACAGGGAAAGATTGAATTGGATATCTACATCATTTCCTGAAGAAACCCATTTACCTTTAAAACAGTATAATCATCAGTATTTTAATCAAAACTAATGGTGAGATCAATGCATGTTGTTCTTCTATGTAACTATGTGGCAATAGGCGCTTTCACACCGGAGTACTTTTCCCAGGAATAGTTCCGATAGTTCTTGGGATTTTGCGTTCACACCAAAAAGATCTGTAACTAGAAGTTTTTGCGAACCTTTTCACCCCTTTTCAGTCTTTGCTAGAGAGGTGGTACTTTCCTGGGGAGAAAAAGGTTCCAATTTCTGATTGGCTGGGCGAATTGCAAAACCACGCCCCGTAAAACTCAGAAAGGTTTTGTGATCCGCCATTTTATTTGCTCGCATTAGCATTATTAGCATTAGCATTAGCTCAGCGCACCAACGGAGAGAGACTAACTTATGGCAACACAAAATAAAACGTTGGAGCGGTGGAGTGATGAGGAGGTGTCGGCGCTTCTGGCGATTTACCCGGGGCTTCGGGTGGCAGTATACGCCGTGAAGTTGTTTGTGGCCTGCCAGTAAACCCAGAGCAGAAGAAGAACAAGTGACGTCAGTGGCTTCATTTGCGTAATCTTCCCTCAGGGATTTATTCCTGTGTGAACGCGATTTACTAGGACAGTTACGGGACTAAAGAGTTCGGCGGGACTAAGTACTGGGAACTAAGTACGGCAAAGTAGCCTACTTGGTGTGAAAGCGGATAATGTCGGAGGAGCTTGGGACTTAAGATTGTATTGCCATTTATACACTGTAGCTACTGTGCATATAACATTAAAGCCTTTGAATCTTGAATCTTCTCCCACCAATCAGTTTTTGTCATAACTGCTTTTTCTTTTCTTTTTCACCAGATGTGCTGTTATCTCGTCTATCGCAGCTGGGACCTCAAAAACATTTGCTTGCAATGGAATGGAAGGCCAGTATGTAAACATTGTGATTCCTGGAAGAAAAGGATACCTGACACTGTGTGAGGTGGAAGTCACTGGTCAACCTTCTGGAAACACTGGTAAATTGTACTATTAAAGGATCTAATAGAAAGCAAACAGTCACATTAAAAGTTAAATCAAACATGGCAACTGCATGTTCATTTTCATCTCTGGTCAGTTGAATACGGGTACAACTTCTGTGATTAACTCAAACTATGTTTCATAACACATGTTGTTACTTTGTCCAGCTACTAATATTGCCAAAGGTGGAAAAGTGACTCAGTCCTCCGTGGGGTGGAATGGTGTCCCCGAAAGAGCCATTGATGGAAATGATGCTAGCATATATGGAAAGGGATCCTGTACACACACATCACTACAAAACAAACCCTGGTGGAGACTGGACCTCCTAAAGAGATATACAATCAACACTGTCACCATCACCAACAGAGGAGACTGTTGCCATGAAAGGATCAATGGTGCTGAGATCCACGTTGGAAATTCCCTCAATGACAATGGCAACGCTAATCCCAGGTAACAGCACTATCTGCCTTATATTAGATTTACAAATGTTACCTTACCTCTGAAAGTTACAGGGAAAGATTGAATTGGTTATCTACATCATTTCCTGACATGTTCCTGTTTCTTTCACCAGATGTGCTGTTATCTCATCTATCGCAGCTGGGAGCTCAACAACATTTGTTTGCGATGGAATGGAAGGCCAGTATGTAAACATTGTGATTCCTGGAAGAAAAGGATACCTGACACTGTGTGAGGTGGAAGTTACCGGGACAGAATCAGATGCAGATGATCCCATTGAATATGCCTGCGACTGAATCTGAAATACTTCTTCATGCTCATGTCCACTTAATTTTAAAGCTAATCAAACATGTTTCTGCTTCTTTTCCTTCACTACAACATTTAAAGGTATGCTAAATTAATATTAATATTGTTTATCTAATTTTAGGTGACCTTAGTGATAAAGAATCACACACACACTCACATACTAAAGTTATTCAGAAAAAAATAATTGTGTATCTGTTAGGCAAAGGATTTATTTAGATATAGACTAGTCTAGATGAAGGTACGGAAACACACCGTGACAAATGGACATAGTGGTTTTTAATTGTAATCTATACAATGTTTTAAAAGCAAACTAAGAAAAAAACAAATGTGTTCCCCTTAACTCAACAATTAGAATGTGCAATCTTTAAAATAAAATGTTAAGGAAATGTAACACCCTGGGTGACTGGTAATGAAATGGTGGTTACTGGTGATGGTGTTAGTTATATTTAACATGTTAACCTCAATACATATTGTGTACATGGTGATGGTTTCAGCTTGTGGTCCTGTTTGTTTCCAAGAGAAAAGCCTTTAGCTCTAATGTCTACCTGGTCTAAGAATCTGGTTTTGTGTGGTTTCTAATTTTTCATTGGTTTGTTTCATTGGTTTGATTCACTGTGTACTCCAATTGCAAAACAACAAATAAATGTTTCTTTTGAACTCCATTCACCACGGTTTTTCTTTCTCCAAAAAAAGGACACAAATCACTTGTTTGTCCAAATTCTCTTTTTTTAAATGGTTATCAATCAATAGACTGATACATAAAAAAATTGTATTCTGTCAAAAAGAAATTGGGGTACAGAATATTTTACGGTTATAGCATTACGACCTTGTATTGGCATTGCGACTCAAGTGATCCAATTGCAAGACGGACTCTACATATCCTTCTTCTTCCTTTTTGTGATAAATCATTAAAACATTGAAAGTACTTTGCCGTTATTGTCAATAGATGATGTTACATTTCAAAGACACACTGTGTTTTTCGTTAATTCTGGCTCATTAGACCTTTCGGTACCACTTTACAATAAGACTACCCTTATAAAGGGTTTACAAATAGTTTGTAATTCATTTATTAATTAGGTTGTGAACACTTTATAAATCATTAATAAGACTGTATAAGACATGAGATAAACAGGGCAACTGTGACCGGTTGCTTGCCAAATAGTGAGCCCACATTTATCTGTCCTGCTAAGCCTTATATTGGTTACTTAGCTTACTTCGTCTTCTTCATCAGCCAGCATCCTTGGTATCTGTTGTTCACTGATACACATGTATATTTAAACATAAAAGCTTTTCTCAGACATAAATGAAAGACTTGGTAAGACATAATGGTACTCAGACTGGAAAGGCTTTGTGTATATCCTTGAACAAGCAGTCCATCAGGGTGAGCAGAGCCAAGCCAAGAGGACCATTCAAGAACCTTGAGGTGTTCCTCCAACAAACTCTCTGTACGGTTTCCTCTCAGTCTACGACCAAGCTCTTTCATTATGTTGGGTTTGATGACTGCCAGTCTGGGGTTCACAAACCACCTGCTGTGGTTTATGGTGTAGTGGTTGTACCCCATGTTACTCAGCACTCTCCTGTATGCCCTCCACTCATCACTAATAATGCTACTTCCTGACTTAACATGCCGTCTAATCAGAGGGGCAAGGTGGCATCTTGATCGTTTCTCCACTAGTTTCAACACTAGTCTTCGCCTTTTGTCTTTAACTCCCATCATTCCGAAGACCCATTTCTTCCTTCTCCAGGTATGTCCAAACACAAAAATAAATCACAACATCATCTTAGTTAACAACAAAATGCACACAAATTACAGTAAGAATTGTTGCACATCATGTTTCAAAATGCCATACTTGTTTATTAGGTGCATTGTATAACATCATTTAAGGATAATTATACAGTAATGGTCCATATTGATTTTTTTTTTTTTTTTAATTCTCTTGTACAATAAAGCCCAGTCTATAACTGCCGAACATAGGAACTGGGTACAGTACCTTCTCCCAGACACAAATACTCAAATAAAATAGTTTACTTTATCAGCATTGGTATTACCAATGCTTACTATTTATTTGATAGTGGAGCTAACTGCGCCGCATAAGCGCATAGGTGCGCCGCATTTGCGGCCCAGTTGAGGCTCCCTCCGCAAGATGAGGCCCCCTCTGTGCACCTTTGTGTTCACAAATTATTACGACTAACTTTATTGTGAAATTAAAACAGAACGGTAAAAGAATAGTTTCCGGTCTATTCTGAGGACCGATCTCTGTAGATAAATAAAGAACTACGACAGATGTGTAATGTTTAATGCAGCCGAACCATTTATTATGCATTCATGTGATGACTTGAATGAAGTATGATCTTTTACGAAACGTTTTTTTTCATATGGAATGCAGTTGGAGGTCAACCAATCACAGAGCTTGAGGACTAATCACGGGGTTTGTCGAGCAAAGCGGAACGATAGCTGAGGATTCTGGGTAGTGTAGTGTCTTCTGCCATCCTAAACTCCGAAAAAAAATGTGTTTCTCCGAATCGAAGGGGAAAAATACAAAAGCATTGTACACAATTTAAACCAATCAATGTTGTGTAATTAACAAGGATAATCTGGTGTTTTTTAGTTGATGAGTAGTGCAGATATCACTGTAAAATCAATCGCCATTAAGGAGAATACTTACTTCCGGGGGTAAAATCCTCCGTTATCCAATGGGAATGGACGCTCACATTGCCTTTAACTGCCGCCGACATGGACCGATGCGGTGCTTCCCTGAGCGTCAAATACCGCCGCCGATGGGAATACATTGCAATCAGTTGAAAGCTCTTTGTGTCCGTTTATGAAGCTGAAGGAGACTCGGCGCGTCACAACTGCACGCCAAAGGACCCTGACCAAGCGTCGCTATTGGACGATCAGGGAGTGAGACTGTGTTGCATAGTGACATCACTACATAATAATTGGGCTTCTATTGGCTAGCAGTCCAAGACATTGTACGTGATAGGCTAAGGGGCAGGAGATCTCTAAGCGGTTGGCCAATCGCAACAGAGCAAGCCAGCTAACCAATCAGAGCAGACTCTGCTCTGGTTTCAGACAGAGGGTGAAAAGAGGTGCTGCAGCACAGGCAGTATGAGAAAATAAAGAGCTTTTTGAACATTAAAGCATGGAAAACATGTCACAGTAGAAGCACAAAATACAAATATGAAACCTGATAATTAGCATAATAGGGCCCCTTTAAAATGTTTTTAGCAAATGTGCACGGTAAGCCGGACAGAGGGTGAGGATGTGACCTGATTGCCAGGTTACTCCTCGCTCTGCTGCTCTCTTCCTCTCTCTCTCTTCGAGGTTATAATTTGCCAGTATGGCCGCTCGTGTCCTTCCCCTCTGGGCTGTATGAAAAATTCACCAGGCCTTCCCATTAGAGTCAGTCTGAATCAGGGAGCAGGCGTTACAATGGCCACACACACGACACATTTTTATCACTCGACACTTAGCAACGCAAATGTTATGTTTATGAAACACAAAATCACAGCAGCTGCCCTTTTTTTTTGTTTTGCTGCAGGTCAGGTCAAGTACATATTGTATGTACTGTACACATAGATACACTCACACAAGCATCTGCAGTCCAGAATTGTTAAAAACAGATGGACTCTACCCTTTTCAGGTCGGGTTTTTCACACTGATGGTGCGACACCTGACCTTTAACATGTGGGAGTGTGAGAGCAGCCGCTTTCTGGGGCTACACCTCCAGACAGGAGCACTAACGCTGCCCTGTCTACCTCTGAGGAGACACGTTCTACTGTCCAAACGCCTCATACTGAAAAACAAAAGTAGTGAGGCTGTACAATGGCCAGAATAACAGGAACACCTACAAAACAATAGCCTTGCAATAACCTTTGTGAGAGATGAAATGTTAAGGTTTTGTTTCTTTTCTGTCATTTAAAAATGTGTTACAATAATTGTAGTGCTCAAACAATAAGTAAACAAGTTGTATTACTCCTATAATTGTACATTTAAATTCAATTTATCATACAAACATTTCTATAGTATTTTTGTGTGACTGGAAGACATTTGTCAAGTGAAAAAAAGCAAGTTTATATTGTATATGAGAACAAACAAGCACTCAGCAGCATGATAAAAACACAACAAGGATTCTGCTCTGATCCTTCTGCTGCATATTTTCTGCATCAACACATCCCCTTGGTTTTTTCTTTGCAATATCTGTAACCGTTTCAGGAAACCTTGCATTGACTTTTTCAATCAGAAACCCTGTGTCACAAACTGAGTTGTGGCATTTCAAAGTTGTTTTTGCAAGGCCTGCATCATTGGAACTGTAGGATCTGGTGTTTTTGGAGGTTTGCTCACATTAGGGACTTTAAGTCAGAATATCTCGGCATCTGCTGCATTAATTTCACAGTTAGACCCCCTTACTTAAAGGTGGGGTAGGTAAGTTTGAGAAACCGGCTCGAGATCGCTAGAATTTGAAAATACACAACCGGAGAAAATCTGCCACTTCCTTACAGAGCCCCTCCTCCAACACACACGAACGCGCACATGACCAATGAGGGCACGAGATGAGTTTGTGCACAGATGGAAGGCTGACCGGCAGGTAGGCCATCCAGTTATTTTAGCAGGGCCGGCTAAAATGATTGGTCGTACTTTTTACAGTATTACGGCTTCTCCAGATGACATTTTTTTATGGATTTTTTGTCAAAGCACTTAAGATATTCATTGCTATCGGGATGTTAAGAGCATTCCATGGAATATAACAAAAAGTGTATCTCGAGCCGGTTTCTCAAACTTACCTACCCCACCTTTAATGGAAGTGAAAAACAAGATTACTGGAGTGCGCCTTTCATTCGTTTTTAAGTGTTTTATTAAGTACAATTGCCAAAGATTGTCTGGTTCCTGATTTGCTTTTCTTTTTTATTAACATGATAAATAACATCTCAAATATTTTTGACAGTTTTTAAGACAAAAAAAGCCTTTTAAATATGACACTTTGGGCTCTGACAACAAAAATAAATGTAAACATAAAAATATCAAGTAACAAAACATATAAATTATCTGAATTAAAATGGAAATGGTTCGTGTTATTTTGTCAGTTCCCTGCAGGAACCTCTTATTTTGCATGTGATGTAGTATGATGTACATTTGATTAATTTATAATGCCCATAATATATTCATAAGACAGCAATGCAATCAGCAGAGGCTTGACAGATGAGTGTCTGTCCAAACAGGGAAAGCCGACAAAATCTAAGCAGTAAACCTCTCAAAAACACTCCCAAACAGCTCAAATCCAAGCTCTTCACACCCTTCCAGTGCCGATCCATCTTGGTGCTTCCCTGTTTCCCCCAACCCAAAAGATCTTGGCCTCCGATAGTGGAGTAGAGGAGGGTCTGTGGTTGAATGCGTTGCGGCTTTTAGCAGCGAATTCCCCCCCGTCGCCTCTGGGCTGGCCTCTCCTGTGAACATATGAGCCGTGCCACAGCGTGGGGCGCTGGGAGACGTCCAGGGCCTCCTGATTAAATATTACAGCCCTCTAAATGGATGGAGATTAGCCTCTGTGGGAATGTTAGGGCTTAATTTACCCCCCGGCCAGATGTGTGCGTATGAGAGTGCAGTGTGTGTGGATATGAAAGGGAAAGCAGGGAGGGAAGGGGTTGTTGTACATGTGCCCCG